GGAAATAGATAAAAACAACAGAGCAAAAGTTTAAACAAAAAAAGTGGCTGGTGGAAATTCTGATTGGCTGGTAACTTCCGAGAGTCGTCACTTTAACCCTTTCATGCAACTGATTACATGAAAACCCGTCCACTGAGTCCCACTCAGTGTGGAAATTAGGTAAAGAAATGGATCCAAGCACGTTAGGACGGCCAGAGGAAAATGTCCGGGGGGGGGTGGGGGGGGGGTCATGTGTTGGAAGAGTCTCCGTTCGCATGAGGTGGAAATTTTACAAGACAGTGGTGACAGTGGCACTGAAGGAAATAGCAGGGAGCAGAGCTGGAGCTGACGCAAATGAAAATGTTGAGGTTTTCTTTCGATTAAGTTGGACGGGATTGAAAAGAATTTATCAGAGACACAGCCATGGTTAGATGATTTGGGGACAATGTGTGTATCGTGCTTGAATCGTACCCCCCCCCCCCACCCCCATGTATTGAGCCGCATTTCCAGTCGTCTTTAATTGGAGAACTGTATACAGATAAATAAAAACAGCTTTGAATGACACAAGTTGCATTGCACTTCTCTTCAACTCTGCATCCACACCAGGAGAATGCCAGATCATTTCTTTGTTTGGGCCATCTGCTGTGCTGCATCCTGTCTTGTTCCTATCCTGGACACTGACCCTTGTTGGACTTTTTTTTTTTCATTTTGCTCCACAAGTTCTCACATTTCCTGTAATCCCTTTTTACTCTCCTCATTCCTCTTTCAGTCACTTTTCATTGGTACTTTGGTGACTGCTGGTCGTAGTAGCACTTTGTTTATTGTCTTTTATTTATCTACTTTGTTCAATGCAAGTTTCCCTTTTCCTGAGTAGTGCTTTATTTTTTTTTTTTTACCAGTTTCGTATTTTGTAATTTGAAGACCAAAATTATCCCTGCATGTCAAGGTCATTTTTTATTTGTTTTTATTTTTACAATTTAGACTTTGGTAGAGAGGTGCCCGTACGCTCTGCGTAAAAAGAGGAGGATGCTTATTTTCATGCTGAAGTGAGTTGAGTTGAGTTGAGCGCGCAATTTGGTGACACAGAGTAGACTCTACGTTAGACTACCTATCACCAGATCAAAATGGGTACGCAGGTGGTGTTATGTGATGTCGGTGTATTTGAGCAAGGCGCAGGCAGATAGATTCGGCGCTCCACGGACGTGTGTGATTGTAACGTTATCCTATTTCATGCAGAAATATGACCACAGCATGGGACAATCCCACCCAATCATTGGAGAAATCAGTTCACTGAAAGAATTCTAACCACCATCTTAAAAATATGGTCACCTCTGTGACCGCACAGCACAACTAATAGGGTGGGACTGCAGTTTGTCTAGGTACTCTTGGGCAAACACCGCGATGACCATAATGGCGACCAGAATGCTAATTAGTCGTGAATTTGGCAGGTCAAAATTCAAGACCGAGGTTAACCGTTTCCTGACGGCATCCATCTTAGTTTTTCAACTTAACCGGAATGTCGTCAACTTGGATGCCTCCAAGCTATGACTTACAAGGTCAATGGAAACTGCATCAATCAAACCACTTCCGGTCGTGGTGCCTTGCTGCTAGAAATAGTCTCTGAAAAGCATTTTAAACATGAATCCCACTTATCAGCGTGATGAAAGAACAAAAGGCTCTTGTATGCAGCCCGTAACAATGCGAACATTCAACACAGAATACGGCTGATGATTTGGGTGTGCTTGTACCGTATGTCCAGGTGAAGGCTGATGAAAGCTTCTCATCTGAAGGACGGTCAGCATACGAGGCGAGGAAGGCGCGGTATCAAAGGGAGTCCAATTACTCTTGGGAGATGGAACACCAGCATTCCTCGGCTCGACAGAGGCCTCCTTTTATCTAACTCTGCAAGCTCTGAGCGGCATGCGATGAGAGAAATACATTTTTAATCCATCCTCAGTCTTTTTAAGGAATTCCTGCATCGTCTATCACATGTTTTTATGAGTTGGTGCCAGCAGGAACGGATCCAAGGACAAAACAAAGACATGACACAAAGGCATTGGATGATCACGGCTGAATGGATGCGGGGAGAAAAGTGTGAGGTGTATGATGAAAATGAAAAAGGCTGTCGAGATGAGAAAAGAGAGATGGAAAAGCCTCATCAGTTTTTGCTCTCCTTCTTGTCTCGCCGTGCTATAAAGGAAAGATGAAATGAGAGAGCTGTCGGGTGAAAAATAGAAGCTTTACTTGCCTCCTGTAATGGAACGAGGAGGGAGATAGAATGACGTACATCATTTTTCCCCCCTGAAAAAGCTGTTGACTGTCAAGAGAACAAAAGCATTTGGAGTCACTATTATACAGGCTGAGCCTGTCAAAGGCTAAGAGGCCTTCGCCGGAGCTTTTAGCAGCGTGTGCCTCTTTTCTTCTCGCCTTCATTGGGAGTGTGACACGTGACAATTTGTACCAGGGAAAAACTTAAAGAAACCCGTCGTTAAGGTGCACGTCTGTACACATTTGGTAGTAGACTGTACTTTGAGTAGCAAAAGCACCAATACAGCAAAAGAAAGAAAAAGCCTTGACTTCTGCACATTGAAACGGCTCATGTAAAATTTACAAATTAAAAAAAACAGCCACGGTTTGCATCGTCCTACTGAAGCAATCGGGCCTACAAAACAGATTATGAAGCATAAATCCTTGTAGTTTTGGATTGGAAGTCGGCCTCATGAGCTATGCGGGGAAATATCGAAAAGCAGCAATTGTCGAAGCAATTCACAGAGGAAACATACAGAGGACAACGTGGGCTGGATGAGTCTTGAGCCCCACACGGTGAGAGAAAGAAATGGTTTCATATTGCATGCCGAACCACACAGTCTTCCTCTCACTCACACACACAGTCAGACATCACAGCCTCACACCCAGCTCGCCCACAAAAGTGAAAATGAACGCTGACACCTCCTGTGGTGGGAGCAGAACAAGTGAGTGGGAAAGGAGATGAACAAACAAAGGAACTGACTGGGGACCAAGTATAGGGCAGGATGCAAAGATCCTGATCGGAATCCAACATGCAAGAATACATTCGTCACCCTACGCAGTGGAACATAATATAGCAGCACAGTTGTAAAGTCGCAATGTCATAATTACAAGTGAGACATTTTTTTACACGCACACACAGTCAAGCGTCACATCATGGGAGAGCACCGAGCGGCAAATTCCCAAAGTGTTTTGTCATTGTTCACAGAGAAAAAGGGTGGGTCTGTGTGAAATGTGAGTGAGGATCCGTGTGAGGCGAAGCGGCGTGCTGCATCATTGTTTTTGATTTTAGACCAATAAGGTTGAGAAAATAGTTGGACATTTTGGTGGATCTAACGTGAAGGTTTGAATGTGAAACTAGAAAAGAAATGTGAATGTGAAAATGAGCTTTTCTCCGAGCTGACATGCCAAAGTGAGAATAGATTACCTGAAGACGGGGGTCACCAGGTAGACCCAAGGACCACATGCGTTGTCTGCAGGCCTCTTCTAAAAATGTCGCAGCTGTGATAAGACATTTCTGATTTCCTACGAATGTCGCCAAAGTGAACATTTGTAAATATGGTGGATAGAAAGTGTTGCATATAGATTGATCTGTTTCCTATTGTTAAATCATTATTCAGTTGAGAAATCAAAAACATGATCAATGTCTTCACATCCCTGCAGATCCATTTATCCATTATTTGTAACGCTTATCCTCGTGAGGGTCCTGGCCATGCTGGAGCCTGTCCCAGCTGCGTTGGGGCAGTAGGTGAGGCACACCCTGGACTGAGTGCCAGCCAATCGCAGGGCACAGGCGAACACCCATTTACCCTCACAATCACACCTGGGGACAAATTAGAGCATTCCATTAACCTGCCATGCATGTTTTCGGAATGCGGGAGGGAGCCGGAGTACCCGGAGAAAACCCACATAATGCACGGGGAGAACATGCAAACTCCACACAGGAGCCGCAATCGAACCCTGCACCTCATAACTGTGAATCCGATGTGCTAACCCGTCGCCCACCGCACTGCCCGTGCCGACATCAATCTGGCTGGCTGCTTCGTACGTGCTTAGAGGCAATAACATGGCAGATTTCCTAGTTTGATTGTTAGAATTCAATAATTCAGTAATTAAAAAGTATTACATTCATAATATTAAACACGCGTGCACACACACACAAACAGAAAAAAAACATTGAGAGAAAAGTAATATTATAAGCGAACAGGTCCTGTTACCTGCCTTAAGATGTTGACGAAGAGCTCCACTGAGTGTAAGTTTCACAAACAATCCAACTGACGATGTTTTGGCACATCGTGTGTTTTTGCTAATTTGCGATGATGTGATAATTACACGGTTGGGCAGGTAAGCCAGTGACCGGAGAATGTTGCTTTTCTGTTGGTGTGGGATTTGAAGTTCATTTATGAGGATAATTTCATTTTCAGAATACTACAACTTTGTAACCGTCACTTCTTTTTTCCCCAATGTGAACTTAATGCTACTTTGTCCACTTGCGCGCAACGCAAGTACAGCGGCATGCTAGGCGCCGTTGCTGCCTCGGACTTGAGCACAAGGCTGACGCCGCTTCAAAACTGATTGTTGATGGTCGGGGTGGGCGGAGGCGTGCGTGGTGACATTTTTCTGCTCGATACATTCGTCTAGTTTATTGTCCATCCAAAGACGTTTGTGCGTCCATTTGAATTTTTTTGGTCGATGGTGGATTCGTCAGGGTTCGCTCAAGGTCGCAGAAGTTCGCCAACGATCGTAATGGTTGATCTTGTTGCAAAGACATTTTGAACATGACAAGAAAAACGGTTGGCGACCGTTAAAACGGTTTGGGAATGTCTGGCAAACAGCTTTGCAACATTGTACAAACCCTGGAAAAAAAAAAATTGCGTGCACACTTGCAAACATTCACCGCTCACTGAGATAAGGTGGATGCCGAGGGCAACCGCCCACACACCTCTGCACGTTCCTGTGGAGAATATTCTTTTAGCAGAGAACGAGTCAGTTTCTATAAAAAAGTTTTATTGATTTATTAACAACTATACATTTCTTCCCAGTGCTGACAGCTTTGCTACATACTTTGGTGTGATGCCGTGGGAAGTGCAATGCCCCCACACTCCCCCCCCCCACCCCTTTTGTTTTCTGTAGGAAAGGCCGACATTGTCAGAAGCACAGTGTAAAAACCAGACTGATTCACTTAAGTGTTCATGGCAACATAAACAACACTTGATTTAGTCTTTCACGTATTTTTGCCTCCCGCAGCTTCAAGGACAGGCACTGATCATTTCCTCAAGGATTGAAAGGTAGCGACGACCATGACCTCCCAGGCATGACAGACCAAACACATTCGAGCAATATTGATGAGATTTGACGAAAGAAAAGAGGCATTCTGATTCCAATGGCTTCGAATTAACTTTTTCACATTAGCCAAAAGTTAAGAAAGCAATGGTGCAATTCTGCACCCCTTGTTACGTGGAGTTAGCTAAAAGCACATTGTCATTAAGTTCATGGCTGCTGCAGTGCTTCTGCTGCCAACTGAGGTCCAAGGGTTAGGCTATACATTGAACTCCCTCAGTCTCTTTTCTTTTTTTTTTGGATCCATTTCTCGCTGGGTCCTACCGTGGCCCAACTGAGTCAGTGGTTCCACAATGTAGATCAGATGACATTATCTCACAAGAGCACTGAGCACAAAGGCCATTCAAATGTTTCGCAACGTCCTAGTTTACGGTGTCCTGCTTCTCTGCATCTTGTTGAAAAGGTCAACCCACAGAATGTGCTTCAAGGAAACAAAAAAGGTGAGTTACGGTTCAAAAGTTCTAATCTATGATTTGCGCTCACGTATGAAGTAAGACGGTGAGGGCCAAAACCATACCACAAGTACATCCAGGACATGAAAATATATATAAGTTTTATAATATATATATATATAAAATGTATTTGTATTTAATCCAATATGTACACTTTTCACAAGACATTTGTGGACCATGGTTCTCAGGGCTGAAGCTCTGCTTCAGTGGGTTTTGCTCAAATAGCTGAAAAATAAGAAATTCAAAAGAAAATAAGACACAAAAATGTGAAACCCTCCGACAAAAGGGCGCACGCTGTCAAAATCAGTTTCCCTGTAGCGGATGTCGTCAGGGGTGGATAAAAGTCTTGTGGTCCACTTTTCAGATCGATGGCAGGGTCAGCGACAAGAGTAGTCTCAGTAGAAGTGCTAAAGTAAAGTGAGAGTGTCTCTAGTAGATGACCTCATAGACCGTGGCCTTCTTGTCACCAGAACCCGTTACGATGTATTTGTCGTCCGCTGAGATGTCACAGCTTAGGACCGACGACGACTCCTTGGACTGCACAAATAAAGCAAAGTCAGGTTGAGCACTCCTATTGGATATACATGAACCCCATTGAACCGGATCCTACTCAAACGAGTACGTTCTGGCTTTTTGCCAAAAGAAAAACACTATGTGCAGTGAGAAAGGGGGAAGAAGGAAGAAACTAGTGATAGAAGCAGTAGGAAACGCTTTTGGCTTTCTTGAAATGAACAAGGACATCTGAGTTGTGCAACATGTTCTGCTCGTCAATGTGCATCGTCGGGTGTTAATACCGTACCTGGAATATGCTGGCGCCATAGGGAGTCCTCCAGGCATTCAGCAGATTGTCCTTCCCCGTGCTTACAAACCATTTACCTGACAACACAGAATAGTCTTCTTCAGAAAATAATCTCCAATCTCCACAAGCCAACTGGTTGGAGAATTTTCTACAATGGTAACGTTTAGGCCGTGGCACCCACAACTGGAGCCAGGAGGCAAATGCATAATGACTTTATCCATCAATGGCCATCAAAGCTAATTGGGGAAAGTAGTACAACATAAACGATCGAAAAAAATCTCATAATGGGGTCCCGCACTATTTCCGCTCAGATAATTATTTAAATCAGCTCCTGACTAATTACCCAAATGACTAGTTGGCTAATGGTGTAATTGATGGCACCAAGAGCCCAGAAGAAGCACCATTTCAACTAACCGGCTGTGTCATGGCTAAAATACAACACTGTGCTGGAGGAGGGCTTAGAGCAGAAATAAATACTTCGGTTTGGGGGTGAAATGTTAAGCGATAGCAAAATCTCATTTGTCTGTTCTGGAACTTCAGTTTTACAGCAACACTCCGACAGGCTGGGAGGGATCTGAAGCATAGGCAATTTTCTCTAAATCGGCATGTTTGTAAAGGAAAAGGGGAATGAAAAAAAAACTGTCCACATAATTGTCACAAGCATCTGCAACAACAGAACATTTTTTTTTTTGTTTTGTGACAAAATAATGCTACTCTGCATTACAGAACGTGTAAAACAAAGATTCCCTCGGCCATACAAATCCTTGGCCTCAGGTCAAAGATCTGCTGCTTTTAATGTAATATTCTACATTACACTTTGCCATGAAGAAAAAAAAAAAAAAAACATCCCGGCCTCCAATGATAAAGTTGTAATCCTGAGATAGTGTGTCTGGACTACATCAAGTCTTCCACAAAAAGGGGTACATATATTCCAAAAAACAAATCCAATTTTCTGAATCTTCATTACTACCAGTTGAGAACATTATCGGTTCTTCAGAACGGGAACAGCTTTGATGACCCAGTGCTCTCTCTCATCTCCCTGGTATTTTGTATGCTTTTCAGCATGTCTGGTTGAGGAATGACGTCTAATTTCTTGAGCACATTCCATCTCCTGTTTTTCTTGAAATTGTTTGTTCTCATTGCCAACCTCTCTCTTCACGGCAGGTTTTGAAAAAGGCATGCCTGGGAGTGGGTGACTTCAGAATTACATTTCGCTGAAAGCTGTCACGAGCCTTAGCTCTGTTAGCCCAGAGGTGATAAACACACGCGCACACACACACACACACACACACACACACACACACACACACACACAGAGCCCGGGCAACGATATGGCAAAAAAAAATAGGGGCCGCGCTAACAATTAATTTCGAGGTCAATATCATCCTGCAAGATCATCCGAGATCCCCCCCAGGTGGCGAGTTTGAGACCCCGAGTTTAAGACAATGTTGGACAAAGAAACAAACTGACAATTCTAGTTCCAGCAAGTCCTTGCACAGCTGACCCCCCCACCCCCCACCCAAATAAGAGATCTTTCATGTGTAAAAATGTCTGAAACAAATTTCTTACCACAGTAGGCGAACTTGAGCGAGAGGACACAGCTTTCGTGCAGATGCAGCTGGTACTTGTCAGGCTTTGTGTGGTGCAACACCTCCACATTGCTGCTCTCCATGCCCACAGCCAGCCATTCTCCAGTGGGACAGTAGCCTAAAGAGAAGATCTGGAAACGAGGGCCAACCAAAGAGCTGACTACGGAACCTTGCACAACTTTCAAGTCAGAATGTTGAATGTTGGCTTTGAATCAAAACAAAGGCAATGTGAATGCCTCCGTTTAGGTATGTCGTCTTTACTTGTGAGGTAAAGTCATGCTGCTGAAGCTGCCGCCCTTCTCTCAAATCCCAGGAGCGGACTGTGTTGTCAAGGCCTCCGGTCCAGAGCTTGGTCCCATCATGCGAGATGTCGATACAGCTGGCTCCATCCGTGTGGCCCTGGAACTGCCTGCAATAAGACATTAAGTCATGATTCTGTGAGGGATGTGAATCCTCTTGGAGCTGGACATTTTTATTGACGTGTCGGAGGACTTACCTGACAAGGGTCTGATTATGGAGGTCCCACACAGCGATGTTACCATCCGAGCAGCAGGAAAAGCAGACCTTTGCGTCGGGGCTGATGGCAAGCGCGTAGCAGGCTGGGGCAGAAGAGGTAAGCTCCGCCTTGATGCGTGGCGTCTGCGACGCCAGGTCCCAGATGGTCAGTGTGCTGGCCTCACCACCCACGATCAGGGTGCGGCCATCGGGCAACAGCTTGCAGGAGCGGATGTAATTGTCCCTGTTCTGAAGCACAAATGAGAGGTGAGCATTGTGCAGATAAATGGAGGACTCCTCGATACCCTCCCTCCTCCCCACACTAAGAAAAATACACAAAGGTCTTCAATTTCAAGTCCGTGGGGCAACAATGATTTGTACGGACTTCATCCCCTCAATTGGCTTTTTTATGACAAGTGCAATTTTGGAAAAACCACGCTTCGTCCCTCATGATAAAGTGAAGATGAAGGTGTCAGCTTGACCACGAGATACAGGGATGGCATTTAGAGCAATAGTCAGGAGTGTGAATGCTCTCAGCCAAATTAAAACAGCACTCTGACGACTTGATAAGCGCCAATTGCACTCCCGATGCACCTCAAGGGTGTTTGCGGCCATATGAAGAGGACAAAGCCACAGTATCAAAATGAGAAAAGGGAGGCAGTTGGGAGGAAGAAATGCACTCGGTAATGGCAGACAAGGTCAACCAATCAGAACATCTTTAGTCAGCAGGAATTTTTTTTTTCTCCCGCAGCAAAGGATTATTTCAGCATAGCGCAGCACAGCACAGCCAGACACTGCCAAATTACTCACATTTCGGTCCCAGTGGGATGTGGGGTTAAGCTACAATGGGATGTGGAATGGGACTCAGGCAATGAGCTGTCATACAGCGAGTATATAATGTCCTGGGAAAAAGGCATTCTGCCATGACCATGTAAGAAACAATGACAACTAATTACCAGACAGTCAAGTTGGGACACGGGGCTCTTGCTGCCCGGTTGGCTGATGTCCCAGATCTTCACGCAGCCCTTGCCACCTGTGTAGACGTGACGAGTGGGGTTGCTGATGGTGACAGCGCACACAACTTCCCCGTGGCTCAGCGTGTTGATCTGACGAGCGTGCCGCGGGATGCCCGGGCCTATCAATGCGTCTGGGGGGAAGGGCACAGGCTGCATCTGACCATCCGCACTCACATGAAAAGAATATGCCCTGCAGAGAAGCCAGAAGCAGCGAGGAGATCAGTTTGAGAAACGTGCGTCTCTTGTCAGAGTGACTTTGTCATTTTGACACAGGGTGTTGAAAAATATACCACTGACAGTCATGTTATCCTTTCCCCCTTGTGATACCAGTCGACTGAAAAGAATGTACATTTTCAACAAGCCAATATGCTATGCTATTGTAACATTCATGATCAGTTCAAAATGTATTCAATTTGAACTGCGAGAGTGAGCTCTACCGGCAATCCGTCAACACACTGACAATGGGGCAAGGGAGGGGAAAAAAAAAAGATTGATTTCCATTTTAACTTTGCCATAAATCAAATTGATAGTAAGCGGTAGTTACAACCACAGATGCTTTTTGCCTCAAGACATTTAGCTCAGTCTGTTATTCACCGAAAGCAACATGACACCGTCGTCAAATACTCACGGTTTTCCTCCCGAAATGGAAGGCAGGCTGGTTGGCAGGCCTGGCGCTCTCATGTGGGGATGAGGGTCAAACCCCGCCTGCATAAACAAGTGGAGTAAAGCATTCAAAACAAATGACAAACTGCGTTATAAGTTGGGCTATTCAAATATTCACGTGGAAAACGATGCCGACTTTCATCATTCACAGGAAAGCCCTACGCGCTTGTTTTCTAGGCAAATCCCTTGAAAAGCATAGATTCTACTCGATTGCGAATGGAGAAGCTTTACACAAGATAACACAACATCCCGCTTGGTAATACTAATGAAAACCTGGGAGATTTTCAAACATGAGCTTCGTTTGTGGGGAAGCGCCTTTTTTAAGCCTTTAGAATGCTAACGAGTGAACATCAAAGTAATGGGATCTTGGAAGTCTTTGTGCTTTTTCATTATATACACAAAGCTGTAGCCAGGGGAGCAGAGATATTCACAAAGAGTGATGGAAATACAGAATGAATACTTAAGTTTCTCCAAGACATTTTGCATACAGATTGTACAACTTGAAGCGAGGAGGGTTAATTCATGCCAACGCTGATCAATGCTCGCGCCACATGATGAGGCTGATGTATACAAAATGTGGGAGAGACATGCGCAAAATCTGCAACTTTTCACAAATTCAATATTCAAACCACAATATTTACAATTGGTGAGCGTCCGTAAGCAGCAGCGGCAGCGGCCGCTGCACTCATCTGAGGTGAAATCAGACCAGGATAGACACTCGGGCTGGTCAGGGATCCATTCATCTCATGATGGCCCATCATGGCAAAGGGGGTGGCGTAGGAACCCGCAATTGACAGCGGGGTGCGAAGGGCAGGGGCCGCTGTCGATGAGGAAAAGGACATTTTAGGGGATTACAAAAACATTTTTCATGACATTAAGTGCGGGGTTGGTGAAGGTCTTGATTTTGCAAACTTTGAGAGGAACAAAAAAACTGCCTGACTTTCAATTTTGCTCCATCATCGGTTAACTTTTTTTTTTTTTTGTCCTGAAGTGCACTTTGTGTCCCGCTAAACAGCTGATGTCTTAATAATCTCAAGTTAGTTAGTCGGCAGGAGATATTTCATGCTGTAATATTGTATCAGTTTAATCACAATTTGGAAGCATGGGCAAGACTACAGATTCATTTATGGTGGGAAAAACCAATCCATGCGGCAACATTCTAAAACATATTGGCAGTTTTGTTCATTCATTCCATTCAGCCATCCAAATTAAGATTGCAGCAGGTCTGGGGTGATGAGCGCGCTTAATACCTAACGCCTCCATGCCAGGCGGTTTGCCCATAGTCAGAGGCCTCAACCCAGGAGTGGTGCTTGTTCCTGGTGTGGGGACCTCGTTTCTGGGCGTAGGTGTGTTGGACTTCAGGCTTGGTGTCGATGACTTATCATTCTAAAACAACAAACAACATGCAATTGTTTTGTACATTTTTTTGTTGTTGTTAGGCTTAAAGTCAAAGCGTTGTCAGAGACATCAGGGTTAAGAAAAAAGTCTGAAAAATATTCAGTGTCCCCACATAACACCTGCCAGTTCCGAAAAAGAAAAAAACAAATGGAGCTGAAAATAGTTCCACTCGCAAGGAAACGCAGAGTGACAATCTGAGTGGATATCTCAGGGTAATCCAATCCCACACTGGCACTTCATTACAGTCGTGGTTTGAGTGGTTGGCGTAAGGGTCGAGGCGTAAACCTTTCGCTCAGAGGTCAAGCTCGTTAAACATAGCTAGACAAGCTAGACGATGGCCCAAGCACTCCATCATGAAGCTTTTTCTTGCGTCCCCAATCAAGGGAAAAGAGGTGGGCTTCTCAGCCTGTTCAAACACATTAATGCGGGATGGAAGCCGGGTGTCGAGAAGTAGTCTGTGGACTCTAATTGGAGTGGAGCGGTTTATGTCAAACCAGTCCTGGTTACAATAAAAGAGAAGAAGGAAATGATGGCGGGAGAGAAGATGAGAAAAAACAAGGAAGTAAAATGGGTCATGTCTCAGTGTTATATATAGCCTCCGAGAGAAAGAAATGACCACTTACTGGCTAAGTCAGGAAGGCGATTGAGAGGACTAAGCCACTGGGTCTGATTTCCAGTGTGCATCGACCCACTGCCCCTTCAAGGCCCTCATTGAAACGAGCTGCTAAGCCTCCTCCATACAAGGCCTTCCAAAAAGCCCACTTTATTGGACAAATAGCTTCCAGTCCGTTAGTTAAAAGCTTTTGCGCCCCCTCCAAAGCACCTTCTTAGTCAGTTTTTTTTTTTTTTTTT